GGCGAGAATAAGTAATAAGTCTCCCCCGGCCGGCTGTGGATTGATTGCAAATCGGATTTTCACAACTGGCCGATGCGGTCCGGTCCCACGCCGCTTCCCCCTCTCACTTCCTCTCATTCTCGGCGTTTGTTTCTTTCGCCCTCCCCCCTCCTCTCCCGCCCGTTCGTCACAGGCGTGGTCGCGTGGTGGCCGCGAAGGAACAAACACAAGGCGGGCGGCGGGAGTGCGAGAGGGAGAGGGAGAGAGGGGCGCTGGAGAGAGGGACGGAGACGGACGCGAAAGAAAAGCAGCAAGAAGAGAAGTGCGTTGGCGGGCCAGTATTCCTGTGAACAGAAGACGACGGCGGGGCCGGGCGGGCGGGGCTCTGCGGGGGGCGCGGGAGGGGAAGGGGTTACCTGCAGAAGGGCGGGGCGTGCGGGGAGGGGAGGGGGGGTGTCTCCGGTGCGCGCCGTGTCGTACCCTACCTCATTCCAGCTCAGCCTCGTCAGCTGGAGCCAGCTCGGAGCGCGTGCTGCTCAGCGGGTCACGGTGCTGGTCTTCCCCGTCGTCGCCCGCCCCCCTGTCCGTCGGTCGTCGCCGACCTGGAAGAAGAACCCCGGCCCCCCTCTCCCCCCGCTGTAGCACCCGACTGGGCGCCCCCTCACGTCGATCGGGAGGCCAGGACCCCGCGAGTGGAAACTTACGGAGAAGAAGGTTTCTGACCGGAAGTGATCGCGAAAAAGGAACGCCAGTGACCGTGCAGCGAGTGTGTGAGGGAGTGTGTTGTGCAGTGTGTCGCGGGTTCGTCGTCGCCGGGATGTCGTCGCCAGCGCCGCCCCCGGCCCTGCCCAGGATACGGCGCTGCCGCCCTCACTGATGACCCCCACCAACGCGAGGAGGTAACTAGAGCGCAGTGATGGGATGGTGGTGCTCTGGCCACCGGCAAGAAGGTAGTTGTGCACGTGTTGTTAATGAGGCATGCCGCTGCGTTTTTGTTTTTTTCGAGGTTTCGAGTATCCCGAAAGTTCTTTTAAGCCAAAATTATTTTGAATGTGAGTTAAAAGCGCGACTAATAATAAGCAAAGTAGGCACCCATATGTATTACTTAAACGTCCGATGGCTGCAACGCAAACTCTCGTTTTTGGATTTCACTGTCATTGTACCAGGTGGCTGATTCACGCCGCGCACTTTCGTGGTTATACTTTACAGCATGCACGCGGGCGGGCGGGTTGCCGACTCGCATGGGGCTATAAGGAGCCGTGGGCATAGGCAAACCTGCCCACGGCCGTGCATGCGGTACAGTATAACTACGGAAACGCGCGGCGTGAGGCAGCCACTCCGTAGACGGTCGGCTTAACTCGGTCCTACGTATGCAGGCGGTGCAAGAATGTTCTACTAGCTAGTGCCCCACTCTACAAAGTCCGATGAAGTTTCTTCAGCTAGCGAAACGTAACTCCCGGGATACGTCAGCCTCTGTTTGCCCTCATATATTACTCTTCCTTTGGAGACGAGTAATAAAACCTCCTAGGATCAGATTTGATCCTAGGAGGTGTAAACTATATCAGAGGAGAACACACCTCTGTGCTGCGGGTTAGCCTACTCTTGCGTGGCGCCGCCGTGGCCCATGCGCCATGCGCGGCCCGGAGGAGGAGCGTATGCAAACCCACAACTCTGAGGGAAGGTGTGCACTCCCCCGGTTACACCCGGTGCGCACGGTGTGTCCACTCACTAATTCCCGTCCATTCATTCAGCCGCCTCTCATTCTGCAGCTGCCCCATTCATTCGGTATGCACCTGGCTGGTGCTCTCTCTCTCTCTCTCTCTCTCTCTCTCTCTCTCTCTCTCTCTCTCTCTCTCGCTCTCTCTCTTACACACACACACACACACACACACACACACACACACACACACACACACACACACACGCGCAGGCAGAGGCGTCGCCTTCGCTCCGTCTCGCTCCTAAAAACTGCATCGCTCCCGCCCACCCCAATATCCCCCGGTGTTCGCCGCTGACAGATTTCTCCCGGGCCCGGGCTCGCCTCCTCCTCGCAGCCTCCGCGCGGTGTGCTCCGCCAGCTCCGCCAGCTCCGCCACGGCGGCGCGGTTGCGTCGCGTCGCCGCCCGGCCCCGTCGTTGGCACCGCGACGCCCAGGCGATCGCACGTGGGCGTCGCACGAGGCGCGGCGGCACGTCGGCGAGGTGACTGCTGGGCGTGGCGGGGCGTGGCGAGGCGTGGCGAGGCGTGGCGGGGCGTGGCGGCCAGCGGGGCCCTAGTAGTAGTCGGCTAGCTGTCCGTTTCCGCTCGTCGCTGCACTCTGCTAAGGACACGTTCGAGAAAACGCAGCGGGCCACCAACCAGCGGACGGGCACACGGCTGTTCACCGCTGGCCTATACGGCTTTTAGTGCCGTGCGACCACATACGGCTGTGCCGTGCGGTCCCCGCCTCTCGAGCACTCCAGGGTGTACAGACCCTTACGACACGGCCGTTTTTGTAGGGCGCGCGCAGTGACTTCTCTTCCTTTTCTCTCCGCGGTGAAGTCTTTTGGAGTAACGTGGATATGGGGTCACCGAGTGTCGAGCGTAGGTACATGATGGTGTCGCCGAACACAACAGCTCGCGATGACAAGCCCCATCAAAGAGCGCCATTTCCAGACCGGGCGAGACCATACTTGCTCCCAGAAAGGTCGTGAAATAGTAAAGCGAGAAAGATATGGTCTCTCAACTCGATATACTTGCAGTGGCAGACCTTCAGACGCGCCACTGGGTACATCTCCACGAGGAGCACCCGAGGGGCTTCCCTCCCTCGGGGTGGCCTCGGCGGACCGCCGCGCTGCCCCCTCCTCGCTGTGCGTCTGCTAATCCGTGCGGTTAGGCCCTTCGGCGGGGAGGGGACCGCGGGGGAGCTCCCCGAGTAAAGCGGAAAACAGCAAATATTTTCCCACGAAATGTCATCAGCGATACAGTGGGAGTTTTTAGTCGTTTCGCCGACCTATTTTTCAGATATCTTACCTATAGTGATCGCTAGTGGCTGATGAACCCCACGCGTTATAGAACGTGTTATAGAGCGGTTAAGCGGACGGAAGAAGAAGACTTGAGCGAATGAAACAAGGTGCGGTTTCTGATTGGTCGCGACTCCATTCCGTGGCCTAACGGCGTAGGGAGGGGGTGGTGTATCGAGAGTTGCCTATACAGGTTTTTAAAGGACAAATTGACTACCTTTATGCGGCTATCTGGTGGACCACAGGGGGGCCGATCGCCCCCCCCCCCCCGCCCTTAATACGTGCCTACCTCGTGCGCCAGGTGGGGTCTTCACTTCACCAGAAGCCCAAAACCGTCACGGCGCGAGGGGATCTGTATGCAGGAGGCGAGCGGAAGTCCGTCCATACGACGCGGTCCTGGTGGAGTCGTCGGCGGCGGCGGGCTCCACACGCGTGCCGTGTCACCGGCTCTGGGCCCCGCCCGCGCGTGCGTCGTGCGCCACGTGCACGCGCACGTACTTCATTTGCCGAACAATGGTGGCGCCTTAGAGGGCGGGCGCATCCGGCGGCGGCGCCGCGGCACGGGCGTGGAGAGGCACTCATCGGAGGACGTGTCGGGGGGCCCCGCGCACGCAGCGGACACGAAGGCTCTCGTAGGGGTCGTTCAGAAACGACATTAGGGAGGCACCAAATATTTTAGGGTCCGGGTTATAGGTTCCCTATAGGATAAAGACGATCATTGGAGTCCAAGGAGACACCATGATATTTTTACCCCAGGGTATAAGCACCAAGCATCATATGCCCCTCACCCTCTGGGCTCCCAATCATCACCACCCTCACCCTTTTGGGTTTGGGACCCCATAACAAGTCCACGTGCTTCCCGAAGAGTCTCTCCTCCCGGCTACTGTCGGGACACGAGACAATACCAGCGCGGTTGAGTGCGTGGGTCATCGGCCAGGATGTAGTTCGCCTGCTCCCAGCCCCAGCAGCGCGTCCCGCACCCACCCCGCACACTGGCTCGGGCATCATTCTCGACCCGACCCAAATTGTCTTTCTTTCTTTTATTTTTTACGTTTTTGATAAATGTTGGCGATAAGCCGCGCCGCTGGCCTACTGGTCCCGCCACGCCGCTGGCCTGCCCTGCCTACCCCTGCCCCGCAGCGGCGGGAGCGGGAGCGGTATGCGCGCTGGAGCCTGCTGGCTGGAGCTGGCTGCTGGCTGGAGCCCCGGCCTGGAGGCCCGGCGCGGCTGCTGGCTGGGGCCGGAGTCCGTGGGTGGCGCCAACACCGTGCAGGTCGCCTCGCTAGCCTCGCTATGCTGGAACTCACGTGGGCGGGACAGAACGGCGTGGCCTTACGCCCGTAGTGGGGCGTGGCGGGGGCGGGGTGGGG